CACCACGTGAACACCACACCACCTGGTGTCTCCATGACCAGCCCAGGCCCGGGCCATCAACTGTAAACTATAATAATTTGTCTGTTCAATCATTGTTCCTTCTCCTTTCAGTAATGAAAGCTTTTGTTAAACGACCCACCTACCCCATGCGTGTAATAAGTTATTTTTGTCCAGTGTATATTTTCAGCCTTCGGGCTGGTGAACTTTTTCAATACACCGTTAATTATTATTATTATTATTATTATTATTATTATTATTATTATTATTATTATTATTATTATTATTATTATTATTATTATTATTATTATTATTATTATTATTATTATTATTATTATTATTATTATTATTATTATTATTATTATTATTATTATTATTATTATTATTATTATTATTATTACACACACACACACACACACACACACACACACACACACACAGAATATTACTTTTGTAATTTGTACTTTTTTTTTTTACTTTGAGTTAATTTGGCTAAGTGTTCCTCCTTTTTGTAGTTTGTGTTAGTTTTGGTTTATTCTGAACCTCTGGAGTGAAGGTAAAATAGCAAGTGTGAGATATTTTTAACCAGCATTTTGCCATTTTATCCGTATTTGAGTTAATGCATTTAACTGTAGTAGATTTGGTAATTCACATGGACAGGCTGTAGTAGGTAGGCTGGGTACAGTAGGCAAGTCTCATTGTTATAGTATCTGGATAACACAAATTATTGCTGTTAAGTTCTGGAACTCTTAAGTGACAGGCTTCTGAGGTCAAAACTTATTTGTGTGTTCTGTGGTTTATTTTAGTTACGCACTGTGTACACTTTATAAGATCTGAGAGGATAGGGGTGAATCCTCTCCATGGAAGAGACTGAGTAACACTTGGAGGCTACCCTTAGTTAAGTGGTAAACTTCCCCATTCAGTGGTTGTGAGCTCTCTGTCTCTCCTGGTTGGATAGTTTGAATACCTTTGTGATGTCCCCTTTGTTTAGCCCTGCCTTCCACTTATACACCTCTATCAGGTCGCCCCTCACTCTACGTCTCTCAAGGGAGTGCAAATTAAGATGCTTTAACCTGTCTCTATACTCAAGGTTCCTAATGCCCGGGATTAGTCTTGTCATTCTCCTCTGAATTCTTTCCAAGGATTCTATATCCATTCTGTAATACGGTGACCAGAACTGAACTGCGTAATCCAGGTGTGGTCTCACAAGAGCAAGATACAGTTTTAGGATGACCTAGCTAGTCTTGTAACTAACACTCCTTTGTATGAACCCAAGTACTTTATTAGCCTTGTTACGAGCAAAAACACATTGTTTACTTGGCTTAAGGTTCCTACTTATCATTAATCCTAAATCTCTCTCGCAGTCGGATTTCTCTATGGCATCGTTGTTCATCTGGCATCTGGTTTCCCTGTTTACATATCCTATACTGAGTACTTTACATTTGTCCACGTTGAATTTCATCTGCCATTTTTCAGACCATTCGAAAAATTTGTTTAATCTTCCTGTAGTTTTGTGGAGTCTCGTCAGATTTAATAACACGTCCTATTTTAGTGTCATCAGCAAATTTACTTATGTTGCTGTCTATGCCGATATCTATGTCGTTTATGTAGGCTATATAATAAATAATAATGGTCCAAGTACTGAGCCTTGGGGAACTCCACTTGTGACGTTCTCCAATGGGACTTTGTGCCATTAATGCTCACTCTCTGTTTCCTGTCCTGTAACCACGCCCTAATCCATTTAAGGATATTACCTTTGATGCCATGTGCTTCTACCTTTCTAATTAGTCTTTCGTGGGGGACTCTGTCGAAGGCTTTGCTAAAGTCGAGATATACCACATCATAATTGTGCCCCTCGTCCACCTATTCGAAAACTAATGAAAAGAATGTTAATAGATTAGTTAGACATGAACGTCTGCTTGTGAAGCCATGCCGGAATCATTGATCAATCGGTGCTTCTCCAGGTGATTTCGAATAGAGTTTGAAATGATTGCTTCCAGTAATTTGCCTACTATTGATGTTAGACTGATTGGGCGGTAGTTAGAGGATAGTGATCTATCCCCCATCTTGAAAATCGGTATTACATTCGCTATCCTCCAGGATTCTGGTACTACACCTGTTTTTAAGGACATGTTAAACAACTTTGCGAAGGGCATACTAAGCTCTTCCTTACATTCCTTTAATACTCTGGCAAATATTTACCTGTCCTTCCCAGTAAGTGTATTTCCTGCTAAGCTCGCCTGCCACCTATGAAATGTCACCTCGAGAGGAGAGCTGTTAGACACCCGATAGTCAGTGTTAAGAAACATTGACGTTATGAAGGTTTGGGTATGAGAGGATGTTACATAAGGCAGGCGTTGTATCTTAGTGGCCCTCTCGAGTGTTATGCTAATTATGCGCTGCCTGAGAAACAGTTCATTCCCCCCTCTCACCCCAGTTAGGTTAAGTTAGTTTTGGTTAGGTTATGTTAAGTTAAGTTTCGTTTGGTTTGGTTTGGTGATGTTAGTTTAGGTTTGGTTATGTTATATTAGGTTAGGACAGGTTAGCGTTTGGGTGGTTAATGTTAAGATGAAATAAGCTTGGAGGGAGTTATTCTTCAGGTGTTCTGAGTAAAGTTATTTAGTATTCAATTGTCCGTAATTTACATCACTTTATCTAGACGTCACAGGGGATGGTGCTGCACCCTGGTGGTGGGTAATACTACGCACAGTTGATAAGATTAGTCAGTCTCTTTCCACTTGTTTAAGAGGGAGTACTGTATATCCATCTCACTAGTCTTGAAAAAATACCCAAAGTAGAATTCGAGTAAAGTTTTTGTTTGTTTTATACTTGACAGGGCATTTGTGGTATTAGTGGTCGTTGTGACATGGCAATTAATGGTAGTAATGGTCGACGTAGTAGGCAGCTGGACCTCTGAAAATAGTCGTGTTGACAAGAGTTGTGAGAGAAGCTGCCTACCAAGGGACGCTTCAGATGTATTCCTCATTATTATTGTTATTAACCAATTTAGTTTCAATAGATTGATGAAGATTTAAATATATTTATACCGTGTTAGTATTGATATCGAAACAGTTTATTTAGCCAGAAAAATACGGATACAGGGTGAACAAGAACAACAACATTGACATGACTGGGTCGAGTGAGCACCTGTGACACCTGCTGTTAAACAGGTATGCAGTGCATTTATCTCAAGGAATTATTGTAGATAACATTTAATATCATCTGGATTTCTACATGTAACATATTGTTAGTAAATACATATTGCAATGTTACCATTATTATATGTATGTATGTATGTATGTATGTATGTATGTATGTATGTATGTATGTATGTATGTATGTATGTATGTAACTTCAGTACAAACAGAATATGAGAGCAAATCAGTGGAAATACTAATTAAATAAAATACACAGACACACACACACACACACACACACACACACACACACACACACACACACACACACACACACATTTCCTTCGAGAAACAACGGGAAAAACGCGCATTTCGATATCGACTCATGTCATAAAATCTGTTGCAAATCAGGATGAATAATAATAATAATAATACCGAGACGCAATAATCATTGAACTATACACGGTGTTCTGAATACGGTCGTCAAGGGTGAGTGATGAAGCTAAGAAACGACTACAGAACACGCACACTTTGACCCAGAAAGCCAAGGTTTATATGTACAGTGTGTGTGTGTGTGTGTGTGTGTGTGTGTGTGTGTGTGTGTGTGTGTGTGTGTGTGTGTGTGTGTGTGTGTGTGTGTGTGTGTGTGTGCCCAGGTTTATGAGTAATTATTCATGGGGGGATACAGGTGTGTCGGTATTAATTCACCTTCATTTGCTACACCTGTGAAACCTTCCACCTGGTGACATGTATTAGTATATTTTCGGTCGTAATCATCTCTAGATATTTATTTTAACGAATCTAAATTTTATGTAAGTATAATTTGTAAAATCAGATAGATATTTTTACGACTATTTGGTAACGATAGAAAAATAAATATTGACTCTACTGGTGTGATTCCATTTTATATACAGGGTAGACGATGAAACGCGAGAAACTGCTAGTGTGTTTAGTTTATTCTTAAATTGTAAGATAGTTTTGTTTTCAATTAATTAGTTTATTATCATAGTTATTATTATTGTTATTATTGGTGTTGCTATTGTTGTTACACCTCCAGGTTCTTCTCGGCTTTCATCATACAGTACACTTGGTTGACCTCTGACAACAGTAGACAATGTGACAGTTTTGTTCAAGTGCTTATCAGTAAAAAGACACATACACACACACACACACGCACACACACACACAAACACACTCACACACACACACACACACACACACACACACACACACACACACACACACACACACTTACACATTAGCCTTAAAAATACAAATTGTTGTTAAGTCATTAGTGTATATGGGTGTCTTTGTATAGATAATATAGAAGAAAATCTCGACTTTGAGTTTGACGTTTTGAATAGTGTGTATGTGTGTGAGAGAGAGAGAGAGAGAGATTACCATATTCCCAGTTGAGGCATTTTCTGATGTGGGATGCACTTATAGTATAATGCACGTAAGAGGGTCTGAGTGCCTTGTAATACCCCATATGAGTACATTTTAGCGGGTACAGGTCCCTTTATAAACAAACATCTTAGGACACAATGGGTCATTTTTCTCGTGTCGTACACACTCATTTTTTCGGTCTGCCATGAGCTTGTCCAGTCGTCTCATTAAGTACTGACCCCGAGAGCAGTTTATCTCTTGTTGTTATTGTTGTAGTTCCTCTTCCTCCTTCCCTTCCTCCTCCTCCTCTTGCTTCTTTTCCTCCTCCTTCTTGGTCTTCATTATTTTTATATTATTGTATTTATTGCTAATATTATTATTAGTAGTAGTAGTAGTATTACAGTTATTATTATTATTTTTCTCATTTCTCTTATTGAAATTATAAATATTACTATTAATTAAATTATTATTACTATTCAGAGTTGGATGGTAGGAGAAGGGGAAAGACCAAGAAGGAAAGGAGATGGAAGGGTAAGGCGAAGAACAACCCAGAAGCAAAAGGGTGATGATTGTCCAGGCAGCAACGGTGTGCGTGAATGAGTGGATATCCATCGCCTCGGAGGTTTAAACGGGAAAGAACTGTAGTGCTGACGACTGCTGCTGATGGCATGCTGATAGATTGATATTGGAATGTGTGTGCGTGTGTGTGTGTGTGTGTGTGTGTGTGTGTGTGTGTGTGTGTGTGTGTGTGTGTGACTACAGCTGGATGTTGAATGAGTGTGTGATGATCTGTAGTGTTGTGATGATCTGTTTCCTCCTGATTCTCGCTACTCTGGAAGAATTATCGTTATGATAGGTGGTAGTAGTAGTAGTAGTAGTAGTAGTAGTAGTAGTAGTAGGACGGTGAGAACCTCTATCACAGGACTTCAAACACATCCAACGAAGCCCGTGTTGACATCAGCGCTCGAGGATTCTGGACGCGGGGACAGCGAGCCTTCTTTGACATAAGGATTTTTGACCCTATGGCCGCATGTCACCGTAACTTAGCTCTCGATGCTGCACACAGGAGGAACGAGAACGACAAGATAAGGGCATATGGGGAGAGAATTCAGAACGTCAATCAGGGCAGCTTCACTCCTCTAGTGTTCACAACCTCTGGTGGGATGGGACCAAGTGTAAGATGCTTCTACTCCAGACTCGCGGAGGTGATCTCCGAACAGAAGCTGCAGCCCAGAAGATCTCGACTGTACTCCTCTCTGCTTAGGTCTGCATTGCTTTGCCTCAGGGGAACGAGAGCATCTGCCCCAAAGCCGACAACAGTCACAGATATCGACTTTGAGGTAACAGTCACTGAATGCCTCATAGATCTGCAAATCAATTAATTCAACACTGCTAGGCTAGCTACTTATGTATTAGGATATTTAATATTAAGGTAATAAAAAAAAAGAAGTAGCAGTAGTATAGTAGGTGTCGTTAGTCTTGGGGAGGCTGGAGGCCACGATAAAAAAGATAAGGATAAAGGTATCATTATTATTGTTGTAGTAATAGTAGATGTTATTGTTTTGGTTATTGTTGTTTAACGTGTTGCCTTAGTTGTCTTATTGTTGTTGTTGTTGTTGTTGTTGTAATATTAGTAGTTGCTGTTGGAGTTATTGTTCTTGATTTCATTTTTCTTTTTGCTTATTATTACTAGTAGTAGTAGAAGTAGTAGTATTAGTAGTAGTAGGTGGCTTTGTTATTGTTGTAGTAATAGTAGTTGTTATTGTTTTCGTTATTATTGTTTTTGATGTTGAAAACTATAATCACCTCTGTTTACATTGATTTACCTGTATATATTAAAGTTTCTGATATATTTACGACATTGTTGTGTGTGTGTGTGTGTGTGTGTGTGTGTGTGTGTGTTACACAAAATAGGAATAATTTCCTAATAACGATAACTTCGTATTTAGATCATCATAATACGTACAAATGAAAGTTTCTTAAAAATCCTAACCTAAAGTTAGCTAACTTCACCTTACATACTTTAAGTATAATTTTGTTGCATGCTGGTGGTAAACAACGTCTCAGATAAAACAGGGTTAATTTTACCATATTCTCTGCACCAATTAATATCCACTACGTAGTACCAATAAAACAAAAACTTATCCCTATCTGGCAAAAACTTTAAAAAAATTTGAAGTTCAATCGGTGATTATCCCTCTATAGCCTAACATACATACATACATACATACATATATACCGGGAATACATAACTATGCAAATGAACATGAACACCTGTTCATTTACATATCAAAACCTTACTCAGCAGGTGCAGTACAGTACAGTACAGTACAGTATTCAAAAGCCAGGTCTGCCTCCCACCCCGTACATGCTGCCTGACACTGTACGGAATATTTACTTGAGCGGTGATGGCGCCTGAACTTCACTTGAGTCTTTTGTATGTTATTATTTAAATAGATACAGTACAGTTATATACAACAGATTGTGTTGGACAGACAAGAGCAGCCGCTGAGTTGTATGACTGAGAGCCCAGAACACTTGATCCGAGGCTTCTTATTATCCGAAACTTATTATTATCCGAATCTTCTTATTATCCGAAGCTTCTCGTTATCCGAATCTTCTTATTATCCGAAGCTTTTTAGAATGGCCAGTGACAACTCGACTGCAGTTCTCCACAAATACGTCGAATAAATCACTCGACTGATAAATGTTCGACGAAACTATTTCCTGCAGGTGGAAATAAAGTTATGCTATATACAGTATGATGATGAAATTATTTTGTATATTACCAGCGATAACGAGCGACTCATACATATTACCACCGGGACCTGTAGAGCGTCTTATGCACGAGCAGTGGGTGCCGGGGCTTCTGTCATAATTAATAGTTTATTGCGTGTCTTGGCATGGATAAGTTGTGGATTTATCTATATATTTTTTTATAATCCATGATCCACATTATCCACCGGCTTTAATCCTGGTGAAATAGTTTATAAATCAACTAAGATTATAATATTTTAACTATTTTATGAAACAACGAGGGAAGATAAACCTACTATAACAAAATTTATTATTATTTAACAAAAAACAAACATTGTATGATGTATAATACTGTATACGTATAAATAACTACATAGACGGTATAACAGAAATCGTGTATGTTCCGACAGTGCGCTCAGTATGCCGGTGGGTCGAGGAGGGAGGCAGATGCTGATGGTATTGGTGGTGGCGGTGATGATGCTCCTGGGGTACTCCATACTCTACCCTGACAACCCAACAGGTGAGTGAGAGGGGGGGTGCGTGGTGGTGATACAGAGGGGGTGTGTGTGTGATACAGAGTACGTGTGTGTGGTGGTGATACAGAGGTGTGTGTGGTGGTGATACAGAGTGTGTGGTGGTGATACAGAGTGATACAGAGTGTGGTGGTGGTGATGTGTGGTACAGAGGGGGAGTGATACAGAGGGGTGTGGTGGTGGTGATACAGAGTGTGTGGTGGTGATACAGAGGGTGTGGTGGTGGTGATACAGAGGGGGGTGGTGGTGTGGTGGTGACAGAGGGGAGTGTGTGGTGGTGATCAGAGTGTGTGGTGGTGATGCGTGGTGGTGATACAGAGGGGGTGTGTGGTGGTGGTGGGGTGTGTGGTGGTGATACAGAGGGGGGAGTGTGTGGTGGTGAAAGAGAGAATCAATCGGAAATGAACAAGAAAACAACGACGACTTAAATTCTCAAAATTAACATAAATAGAATAAAATTTATCTCTTAATTCATAATCTCAATTACCTTAATAATAATAATAATAATAATAATAATAATAATAATAATAATAATAATAATAATAATAATAGATGATCATTATATATTTAATCCTATTTTAATAAACTACAATCTTGAATATGAAATTTTGTAATATAACAGTCTCTCTCTCTCTCTCTCTCTCTCTCTCTCTCTCTCTCTCTCTCTCTCTCTCTCTCTCTCTCTCTCTCTCTCTCTCTCTCATATTTGCACTCTTTCTCCCTAGGTATCTCTGCAATAAGCTTCACGGCAGACCAGCTGAAGTTCCTACAAGCGTACGCGCTGCCCGGTGACTTTAAAAACGGTAAAGTAACAGGGAAGAAGTGGTGTGGGGAGTGGTTAAGAGGTGAGGGTGAGAGGGCGGAGTGGGGGAGAGTTAAACCATCATCCTTACAGAGTTAAACCATCATCCTTAAAGGGTTAAAACATCATCCTTAAAGGGTTAAAACATGATCATTAAAGAGTTAAACCATCATCCTTAAACGGTTAAACCATCATCATTAAAGAGTTAAACCATCATCCTTAATGGGTTAAACCATCATCCTTAAAGGGTTAAACAATTATCCTCAAAGAGTTAAGCCATCATCCTTAAAGGGTTAAAACATCATCCTTATAGGGTTAAACCATCATCATTAAAGGGTTAAACCATCATCATTAAAGGGTTAAACCATCATCATTAAAGGGTTAAACCATCATCCTCAAACCAGACAAGCAGAGAGAGAGAGAGGGAGAATAGCAGACTCATCTCTCCTTACACCGATCCATTTATTTTCCAGATACAGTATCAGTGACCACACCTGGACCCAAGGAGAGGAGCAAAGCCCTTACCAAACACGTGAACGATGCTTGTAGGACGCTGAATATCTCCCTCCCTATTAGCAGCTTCATGTTATCTCATATGCACTTCGATGACAAGAGAAAGGCTATTTATTGTTTTATTCCGAAGGTGAGAGAAATATGGTGTGGGTCTCTCTCTCTCTCTCTCTCTCTCTCTCTCTCTCTCTCTCTCTCTCTCTCTCTCTAATACCGATAAACGTTGATACGATTCACATATATGCTAAGCAAACAAATGAATGTACACAAACGTACACAAGTGAACGTACACACACACACACACACACACACACACACACACACACACACACACACACACACATACACACACACACACACACACACACACACACACACACACACACACACACACACACACACACACACACACACACACACACACACACACACACACACATCTCTTGTATATTTTGTTGTGTTGTTATGGAATAAATCAGTTTTAGGAGGAAAGACGAAAATTATTTAATGAAAAAAAATCGGCCTAGGTTGTTATTCTTATACATTATCCTACTTTTGTTTATCTATTCCCTCCTTCTTTCCCTCCTTCCTTGCCTCCTTCCTTGCCTCCTTCCTTGCCTTCCTACTTCCTTCCTCCCTTGTCTCCCTCCCCGCTAACTCTGTATCCATTCCACATTCCCTCACTCTTCTACTTCTCCAATAATTCCTTCTACTTCCTTCTTTTCCTCCCTTTCTCTTTCTTCTCTTCTCCCTTGTTCATCCCTGCCCTCCCTACCACTCTCCCTCTCTTCCTCCATCATTCTCTTACTCCATCCCTCCCTTCCCCATACCCTCACTTCCTTATTTTCCTCTCCCTCGTTACCTCCCTCCCTCACCTATTCCTTTCCTCTCCCTACCCTCCCTTTCTCTCGCCCTCCTTCCTTACCTCCCTTCCTCTCTTCTCCCCTCCCTTCCCCTCTCCTTCCCTCTTTCTCCCTCTTTCTTTCCATCACTTCCTTTCACTTCTCGCTTTTCTCTCTTTCTCTCCTTACTTCTCTCCCTCTCTAGTCCTCTTTCCTATCTCCCTTTCTTCTTCCCCTTCCTCCCCCCTCCCTCCCTCCCTCACCACCTCCATCTTTCTCTACAGGTTGCCTGTACCAGCTGGAAAAGAGTGTGGATGAAAACAACAGGTATAGTTCCACCTGACCAGGACCTGGCTTTAATTGGCAGGTAAATGGATTTTCTTTACCTATATGTGTTCCTCCATCTATATTACCTGTGTGTGTGTGTGTGTGTGTGTGTAGTAATAATAATAATAATAATAATAATAATAATAATAATAATAATAATAATAATAATAATAATAATAATGATAATAATAATAATAATAATAATAATAATAATAATAATAAACGGTTTATTAATAGAGTTGCAGCCAGTTGCTGAAAATTTACAAACTTACATGTGATTTAGACATAATAATATACGTTCAGTACATCTACAGGGCTGTACAGTACATAAATCAGGAGATGTTTGTTATTTTAACAATAGATGTGATGGTGCTGTTCTTATATCTTATCAGTGTGGGCTCTTATGGGCTGAATTTTGCGCGAGGTGGGTGGGGGACTGCCGGTGGCAGGAGGTGGCGAGGGTGGTGCAGTAGACCACTGCCAAACCTTGCAGTGCTTGGTGGTGGAGGTCACTGAGGGATGGTATTTCCAGGGTGGAGAGAGCGTTGTTGTAGCTGGATTGTGTGTGTGTGTGTGTGTGTGTGTATATGTGTTTGTGTGTGTCTGTGTGTCCGTGTGTGTGTGTGTGTGTGTGTGTGTGTGTGTGTGTGCTTACGTACAGAGAGCACCATATTCAGGTTTTCTTCCATCAATGTACAGTACAGTACACCCTTTTGAAATACTGTACACACACTTGCTTATGGCAGTTCATCCCAGTCAATGACGACGTTGCTCCAGATGAGATGTTTGATGAGTTATGTGTTATTCCTCTGATGCCACCGTAGATGACTATGGAGGCCAATCCTGGAGGTGCAGATCTTGTTGTATAGGTGACAGGGATGTTGTTCATTGAGAGGAATTATGCCTTGAGCCCTCTGATGTCGTTGGGCTCGATTAGTAGCTCTCTTTTGGTTCAGTGAGGTCTCAAGTGTTTCCGCTCCTCTATGGCATGTTGAGCGCCATAAGGAACGGTCTGAGGCTAGTTGCTCCAGTGAATTTGGTTGTATATTACAGCACTTGAGTAGAGTTTTAGAGTGGTCCTTATATCTCTTTTTCTGTCCTCCCGCCGAGCGGTTTCCATGTGAGAGCTTGCTATATAATATTCGTCTTGGAAGCCGGTGGTCTGGCATCCTGATAACATGTCCAAGCCAGCGCAAGTGTCTTGGCTAGCATGGTTTCATTGCTGGTCGTGTTTGAGTGACGATATAGTTCTTCACAAGTCACTCTATCTTCCCAGGATATTCCAAAGATACGCTCAAGGCGTCTAGTGTGGAAGTTTTCCAGCATTTGGATATGGAGTTTGTAGGGCGTCCAGGTTTCTGAAGCATATAATAATGTAGATATACAGACCGCAAGATAAACTGCAGTCTTCGTTCCATATTTGAGGTCATTGTTGAGAAAGACTCTTGTTCTCAAACGTCCAAATGCAGCTGAGGCTAAATTGATTCTGGTTTGAATTTCCATATCCAGTGAGCAGGTGAGTGTGAGAGTGCTACCAAGGTACTTAAACTGGTTTACTATTTTGATAGAATCTCCATTATAGAATTGTGATGCTTCTATTGGTGGAACATTGGGATGGACAAAAATCTCAGTCTTCTGGGTGTTAATTTGCAAACCAAGCGAGCTGTAAATACCTGAGATCAAGTCCAGTGCACGTTGCATAGATTCTCTGTTATGTGACATTATTGTACAGTCATCTGCATACTGTAGTTCTATGACCTGAGTTGTTAAGGTCCTTGTGTAGGCTTCCAGACGTCTAATATTAAAAAGGCTTCCGTCAAGACGGTACCGTATGCTCACACCTGCATCAGGCCCAAGGGCATTGTGTGAGAACTGTGTTACAGTTAGTAAAAAGATGTTCAACAACACAGGTGCCAGCACACAGCCCTGTTTTACGCCCATTTGGACACTAAATGGTTCTGACTGCACACCACCCACACGTACCCGGGCTTGCATTCCATCAAGCATCTGGCGGAGGATGTTTAAAAATCTTGGTGGTACACCGACCCTCTCCAACATAGTCCACAACAGTTCTTTGTTTACTGTGTCGAAAGCTTTGCAGAGGTCAATGAAGGCGGTGTAAAGGTCTACATTTTGCTCTCGACTCTTTTCTTGAATTTGCCTAGCTGCGAAGACCATGTCTATTGTACTGCGATCTTTCCTGAATCCACATTGGGATTCAGGATGAGTGTTCTCTGTTAGGTGTTGGGGAAGTCTTGATGACATGACTTTTGACAGGATCTTGCCAGTAACTACAAGGAGGGAGATGCTCCTGCTGTTACCACTGATTGATTTGTCACCTTTATTCTTATAGATTGTTATGATATTTGCATCTTTCCAATCTTGGAGGATGGTCTCTGTGGCCCATATGGTGAGTAAGAGGCTATGGAGGCGCTCAGTCAGATGGGGACCTCCATGTTTGTAGATTTCAGCAGGAATGCCGTCAGGTCCAGCGCTCTTGTTGTTGCTCAGCCCTCGTATTGCAATTTCCACTTTTTGTAGAAGTGGAGCTTCATCCAGAAGGTGCAGGGTCGGCATGGGTGGGATGTTATCCAGTGCTGTAGGTGTTATTGGATTATTTTGATTTAGAAGTGTGCTAAAGTGCTCAGCCCATCTTACTGCAATCATTTGATTGCTTTTGTAGAGTGTGGTGCCATCTAAAGATCTTACTGGTGTGACATTTCATCTTTGTGGGCCATAAATGGACTTAACTGCCTCATAGAAGCCGTGTGTGTTACTGACATCAGCAAAGGCTTGAATTTCTTGTGCTTTTTTTACCCACCAGTCATTTTCCATGCTGCGTAAGTCTTTGTGTTTCTGACCTGATGTTGGTTCACCGGTCCCTCAGTGTTTGTGATTGAGGATTTGATAGCACTGCATCGTGGGATAATTTTTGGGTTTTGAGAAGATCATGGATGGTAGGTGAGTTCTCATCAAACCAGTCCTGATGTCGCGTTTTAGAAAAGCCAAGTGTTTCCATTGCAGCTTCACTCATTGCAGTCTTCAACTCTTTCCAGCCATCTTCCACAGTGCCAGGTTCCATAATTTCATGGGCTGGGAGTTTTTCGGTGATCTTGTTTTTTAATGAGTTAGAGGTTTCAGGATTACTGAGGGTTTTGATGTTAAGTTTACGACTGGGGCCTTGCCTCAGGTGTTGGGGTCGAATTATCATTCGAATTCTGGATCTTATTAGCCTTTGGTCCGTGCCACAGTCTGCACCCCTCATGGCTTTTGTGATTTGCACCTCCTTTAGGTCATCTTGGCGACTAATAACATAGTTAAGGAGGTGCCAGTGGTTTGATCGAGGATGTTTCCATTAGGTCTTGTATTTGGTTTTCATCTGGAACTAGGTGTTAGTGATCGTAAGATTGTATTCTGAGCACAGTGTAAGGAGTCGGAGTCCGTTGTTGTTCATCTTCCCTACTCCATGCTTGCCCAGAACTTTGTCCCATGTTTCATAGTTTGAGCCAACTCTAGCATTGAAATCCCCTAAAAGAAGAATTTTGTCAGTTGGTGGTACATCCGCAAGAGCAGTTTCCAATATACTATAGAAGTGGGTGCATAAGCGCTGAAGATGGTAACAAAGCGACCTTTGACCAGAGGGATGCGCCATGTCATGAGCCTTTCGTTTATTCCAGCAGGCGTCTCAGGTATGCTGCAAAGGAGCGATGGTTTGACAGAGAAACCCACCCCATAGTCACGGCGCGTGTCTTCTGGGAGCCCCCTCCAGAAAAAGGTGTAGCCCTCCCCCACTTCCGTCAGAGAGTCCTCCCCACTCAGTCGGGTTTCGCTAAGAGCAGCAATATCTATGTTATATCTCTTGAGTTCATTAGCGACCAGGGCAGTTTTTCTCCTTGGTTTTTCTATCTCCCCTCTGTCCAATAAGGTTCTGACATTCCAGGTAGCAATATTAAGTTCTTTCTTAATCTGATTATTTTGATTGTTTCGACTGCATTATGGGATGACTCGACGGTTGCAGAAGGCCGCCCGAGCAAGAGTCAGACAGCACACACACACACACACTCAACCCACCACTATCTATGTACTTACCTCTTCCTTCTCCACCTACAGGTACACAGTCCACACCAGAGTACCTCTTCTCAGTGCCACTAAAGAGAGTATGGAGAAACTAAACACATACAAGAAGTTCCTTTTTGTACGACATCCGTTTGACAGGGTTCTGTCTGCCTACAAGGACAAGCTGGAAAACGTCGACAGACAAAGCTCCTACAACTTCCACAAGGAGATTGGAGAAAAGATCGAGAAGAAATACAGGTAAGTGAGGTAGAATTAGCGATAAAGAGTGATAAAGGTGGATTAGAAAGAAGGGAAAGAAAGGATTGGGAAGAAGTGTAGATGAGGGAGGGAGAAATGGGTGGGTGATAATGGGATAGCGAAGAAAAAACAGGAAAGTGGGAAGGATAATTTAGGATACAGGAGACTGTTAATGTGATAAGGATTAGGTAGAAAGATAGATAAGAATTGAAAAGATAGAAAGCGCCCTCTTTGTTACCTCCCCTCCTCCCTCCCTTCCTCCCTCTCTCATTTGTAACCCTACTCTTTCTCTCTCTCTTTCCCTCTCCGTCTCCCTACCACCCCCACCCCACCCTCCCCATTCCCCCCTTCGGACATAACCTCCTCACTCCTGACTAACTCTACCTCTCCCTCTCCTCTCACTCACATCACCAGAGGGACGAAAGACAGCCACGGGGACAACGTTACCTTCTCTGAGTTCATCCGCTTCATCTCAGAGCCAGGGCATGGCACCTTCGAACAGCGAAATGAACACTGGTTATCAATGCACGAGATTTGTAACCCGTGTGCCGTGCAATACGACTTTATCGGCAAGTACGAGACAATTAAAGTTGACGCCGATTATGTCCTTGATTGGCTCGGTGCTACGGACATGGTGGACGGTTTCCCCGCGTCTGACCGTCCGTTCCATGCACGTCGCTACGATCCTAAGTACTTCAATCAGCTGAGTCACAATGAGAAAATGAACTTCTTCAACAAATATCTCGCAGACTTTGTGGCTTTTGACTACGAGTTCGTCTGATCTCAGTTCCTCACCCTCCTCCTCCTGCAGGCGATAACCCCGGCGTGGAACCGTCAACATTCAGCAGTCTACGGCGTTCACTGAGCGTTGAAGGGGCTAAGTTACTTGCTTGTAAGGGAAAGAAGGAGGGACGGAGTTAAGCTCTACTTCTCACTTGGTCTTGAATAAGATAAAAAAGTAATTCAAACAGGATAGTTAGCGTATTTTGTTTGTTTGTTTTTTTTTTTTTTTCAAAACACTGGAGTTGTGATTAATCTGTGCTGTGATTCACCTTGATAAGTATTATAAAGGTATCTTAAAAAACAAATCTCTACGACCTGCCTAACAGATGTACATGAAGATCGCTGTGTGAATGTGACCTCGTGTGACCCAACAACTGAGGACAATGGTGCTCTTGTAATAAAAATAATAATACAATAATGCGATCTCAACTAAAATCTGTAAGTTTGTTTGTATCTTCTCCAGGCAGCAGTATTATATTCTGTAATATCTCATAGTAATTACTGGATATTGTTATTTTAGTGTTGATGATTAAGTGTGTGTGTGTGTGTGTGTGTGTAATAATTAACGGTTTATTAAGATAACATGGCAGCCCGAAGGCTGAAAATATACAATGAACAGAGATGATAAGTTACATATGGTGGAATCGGGGAGTGGGTCACTTGATTGACAAAAGCTTTCAATACAGATACATAACACAGATAGAGTCAACATATAGATTTACTGTAGATATGGTACTGTGGGAGCTGGTCTGTAGACATTCTTGTGACCTGATGTCGGCGCCAAGCCTGGCTGTTAAGCCGCTACCTCACTACAGCTGCAGATGTACCACGTGGTCCGGGTAGGTCCTCCAGCTCACACAGGGTTCTTGTTCCTCACTTCTCCCCTGGTGTAGTTTGGAGTGTTTCTTGGGTTGTCATCTAGTGTTGGTGTACCGCGGGCTGGGTGTGAGGGTCAGGTCAAGCACAGTTGTCACTAACATTTGTTTCTTTCTTTCGAGTTGAAATTGTCACTTTTGTATATCACTTGTGGGCTGTTCATGGGGAAGGGGAGAGCCCGACAGACCAGACGGGCAGCTATCTCCATGGTCAAGAGGCCACGGCAGCGTTCACGGGCAGCGCCGACTACACACGTCCTTACCCTGTGTGTGTGTGTGTGTGTGTGTATCTTCTGGTCCGAGTGTGGAAGTCATGACCATTGATTGCTCTCTCTCTCTCTCTCTCTCTCTCTCTCTCTCTCTCTCTCTCTCTCTCTCTCTCTCTCTCTCTCTCTCTCTCTCTCTCGGCGTGTTCGGAGAGACAAGTATGATGTAATGAGGGTTGGTTGTAGTTGTTGTAATAGATAGGATTGTGATTGTTATTATTGTTGTAGCTGTGGTTGTTATTACTGTGGCTGACGTCGCCATGATTCCAGTGGTTGTGGTTGATTAGCATTTTGGTAATTTGGTTATTGTAGTTAAAGTTGCTGTGATTGCAAGGCTTTTGATTGTTGTGGTTGTGATTGATACTGTTGTAATTGTTGTTGTTATGGTTATAGTGGTTGAAGTCTCCGTGATTGCAAGGGTTATGATTGTGGTTGATGTTTTTATAGTTGTGACTGCAAGAGACTTGTTATGGTTGGTTGGTATTGTTGTAGTTGTGGTTGTTATTGACGTCGTGGCTATTGCGGAGGGTTGTTATTGAGGTTATTTATGGACCATCATTTAGAGTAGACGCTGGAATTAAGGGACCAGGAATTATATTAATGACTGGGATTATAATTAAACCTACAAATTATATGGAACATGAATTATTATCGTGTAGTCTCTGATAATTATAGAACCCGTGAATTATTATTATACTGTAGGTCTGATAAAATTATAGAACCCTAGAATTATGAAGCCTATGAATTATGAACCACTAATTATTGTAATGTCTAAGAAGGTGAGAATTATATAACCTAAAAATATACAAACCTCAGTTATTATATCTCTCCTCTGGTATGTACACCTGTGTGATTTACGAGTGTGCCTTGACGTATAACTGAACACATGATTATATTTTTCTTTAGATAATTTGAAATATCTATTTTTGAAGGGGGGGGGGTGGAATAGGCACAGGTAAGTTGTGTTTAATTTATATACAATGTTGTTAATTTACCTGAGAAATTTTATGAGAATAATTTTGTGTTTTAAGTTAAAGTATTATTCGTGTTTTAGATGTTGACATAGATGCTACACGTAATATATGCACAGTTTTTATTCTTGTGATATTGATACGTAATTGATAAGTAATAATAATGTAAGGTATTTTTACACGTTTTTGATATGCAAAGATTGGAGTGTTTTTTTTTTTTTTTAATATTGTATTTACCTAGATTGTTAGTATAGTATTTTATGTCCTGAGTGTTTGTATGTAATGCTGTACAGATTTTGTGTATTTACTTTTAAAACAATTAAACGTTTATTTAAATGATTTTATGGTATTGTTGGCATTGTTATTATTATATTTTTATATTTAATTAAGTCACCAAATATGCACATTACACACACACACACACACACACAAGGATGCAGAACTCAGCTACACCACACAACCACTACCATATGTGTACAATAATTGTTTGTTATCAGTATCTGAAAAGCCCCACTGCAAGAACATAAGAATGGAGGAAACTGCAGCTGGCCTATTGGCCCATATAGGGCAGTCCCATTTACACTATTGCTCATATATCCAGGATGTCAAGTCAACCCAGGGCAGGTAGCACCTTTCACATAAGAACATAAGAAAGTAAGGAGTCTGCAATAGGCCGGTTGTCCTGTGCATGGCAGCTCCTGTCGAGAGTTACTACCACTCTCTATCATCCATGAATCTATCCAGCCTCTTTTGTTTGACCGTGGCAGCTCTCGAGGGTCGTCATCATAGTTAGAAATATATATGACAAGGAGTTCCACCATCATTCAACAGCTTGTGGGTTACTCCATCCCACCTCACACACAAGCAACATCGTGGACCACCCCTTGATATGAGTGTACCCTGCAGGAGGTAGTAGCCAGGTAGAACAAGTTAGCTTTATAAGACCTTGGCTTCCTGGAAACTGAAGATACGAGGCTTCCTGGAAAGTGAAGACACAAGTCAGTGAGGTTAGGTACCCTCCCAACAGCTCGATGGCTAACTGCCTTGTAATACCACCCGTGACTGGTTAAGATGTGCAGAATGTACCTGTGAAATTCCCTAACCCCAATGAGAAACTTGTCGTGATTGGTTGAATTAGTAACAAATCAGGTTATTAGTCAGCCAGGTATGTAAGTGTAGTTTGCTGATTGGTTGGTTGTGTGGATGGTTAAAGCTCAGCCATTGGTTAATCGGATGTGGCCCGCGTATTGTGATTGGCTGGCTAGTTTGAGGAGGAGAGTCGGCTGTGGGGAGTAGCAGACGGCATCAGAACCAAAGCTGCCGCCGTACAAGATGCGTCTACTTGTAAGTACTCCTTTAGAATTATGTATTTTTGAGAAAGACTTTTAAATTTATGAAGACAAATGAACATCAAACCATCACAAACATGTTGATATCAGTTTCTAAGTCGTGTCCAAATTTCTTTTCAGATATTAATCACGACGCTGGTTGGGCAAATATTATCGTAAGTATTGTATTTCATTTATGAATTAATTATCTATGTTGAGGATATACAAGTGTGTGTCTGGGTTAAATAGATTGATCGATATGCATTCATTCAGTGCCCATTTATTCAACCGGTATACAGTGTTGGAGGTGTTACTATGTAGTGTTGGAGATGTTATATAATGTTGGCGTTGTTGCAATGTTGTGTTTGATATGTTACTGTGTTGTGTTGGAGATGTTACTACGTAGTGTTGGAGATGTTACTACTGTATGTTGTGTTGGAGGTGTTACTATGTAGTGTTGGAGATGTTATATAATGTTGGCGTTGTTGCTATGTTGTGTTTGATATGTTACTGTGTTGTGTTGGAGATGTTACTACGTAGTGTTGGAGATGTTACTACTGTATGTTGTGTTGGAGGTGTTACTATGTAGTGTTGGAGATGTTATATAATGTTGGCGTTGTTGCTATGTTGTGTTTGATATGTTACTGTGTTGTGTTGGAGATGTTACTACGTAGTGTTGGAGATGTTACTACGTAGTGTTGGAGATGTTACTACGTAGTGTTGGAGATGTTACTATGTAGTGTTGGAGGTGTTGCTATGTTGGTGATGCTACTATATTGTGTTGGAGGTGTTGCTATGTAGTGTTGGAGATGTTACTACGTAGTGTTGGAGATGTTACTATGTAGTGTTGGAGGTGTTGCTATGTAGTGTTGGTGATGCTACTACTGTATGTTGTGTTGGAGGTGTTACTACGTAGTTGTTACTGTGTTGTGTTGGAGAGGTTAAAATGTAGTGTTGGAGGTGTTATATAATGTTGGTGATATTGCTATGTAGTATTGGGGGTGTTGCTGTGTAGTTGTGGAGGTGTTATATAATGTTGGTGATATTGCTATGTAGTATTGGGGGTGTTGCTGTGTAGTGTTGGAGGTGTTACATAAAATTTGTATTGCTTTGTAGTTTACTTGTCCACTTGTTTATAAGCCCACCTGATTCTCTCTCTCTCTCTCTCTCTCTCTCTCTCTCTCTCTCTCTCTCCCCATCAAGGTCGACTACCATTATTAACCAGGTAACCACAATCTATCTCAACCAACCACACCATATATACTTTCCACTACAACCACAATCCACCCCAACTACCTTATCTACTAATAACTATCCAATCACAACTACTACCACCACCACCACAACTATTATCTGGGTTAAAAACACAAACCTTTTCTTACGTAACTTATTCTGTCAAGGTTACAGTTACCCTAAAGCCCTTCCCTCCCTTTCACATTCCTTCTCTTGCCTCTTTACTCTCGCCCCCATTACCCGCCTTAATCCCCGACTAAGGGTTTCAGGTTTATACAGTCTTGTTACTCTTAATGGATGTATGTTTTAACCCTGATTACAGATATAGCTCTCAGGTAACGCCATTATAAAGCTATCGTCAGCTATACAGACGGTAATGAAAGCTAACATTACACCAGCTGGCTATAATTCACAGCTAATATAGGATAGGTTAGGTTAGTTTGGGTTAAATTAGGTTAAGTGAGGTTGGGTTTGGTTAAGTTAGGTTAGCTTAGGTTAGGTTAGGTTAGGTCAGGTATGGTAAAGTTAAGTTTGGTGAGGTTCAGGTGTTAACTTAGATTGAGATGAGGTTAGTTTAAGTAAAGTTAGTTTAGGTTATGTAATGTTAGATGAGATTATAGTAGGTTAAGTAAGATAGGTTAGATTAGAGGTAGTTAAGGTCAGCGAAGATTAGCTTAGATTAGGTAGAATTAATTAAGCCCGATAAGTGAAGGTTAAATAAATATTGTATCGTAAATTTGACTAAACTCAACCTAGGAGAAAAAAAAATATCCTTCGCCGTGACCTTAACTCCTTCAAGGATCCTGGACGTCTTATCCTCCAACTCCCTCCCTCCCTTCCCCTCTCCCTTACACACACTTTACGCATGTTTACATACCAAATCTAAATCTAAATTGACGTTCAAATTCTATTTTATTTGGCATGAATAGAAACCAAGAGGCGAGTCTTACGGTGTACTGTAAATAAAACTTGTCTCTTGCTTGAGGTGCAGGTTACCCCCTGTGTCTCTAATTAAAATCTAGTGCTTATCCCTTGTTGTTGTTTTTTACTTTTTTTAATGAAGTGTTTCTTTAAAAGTAATATTTATTCAAGTAAGCAGTAAGTGGTTTAGTATTCATAAAATAAATTATTTAGTTAAGATAAAGATAGTAGGTTTTTTGTGGGACTCTGTATGGCAACACAATTTCCTGGAAGCTCTTAGCCGGCAACACGGTCGCGGGTCGACTTGCGGATTGCCTCTCTCTCTCTCCAAGGGCGGATCCAGCGGGGTCCTGGGGGTCTGGACCCATCTTTTCAGGCATTTTTGTATAGTAAAAAAGTTTATGCTATTGACTTCAGAATATCTTCTAATATCAAGTGAAAATGGCCTCAAAATGCCTATGATCTTGGTCAGATTTGAAAAAAAATCTTCGTGGTGGGGGGGGGGGGACTTACAGCGCCCCACCAAACCCTCCCAGTTGGGTGGGTTCGTTGCGCTCGCCCTGTTCCCCCACCCACAACTTCTTGGACCCCCCTTTTGATATTCCTGGATCCGCCCCTTCTCTCTCTCTCTCTCTCTCAAAATCAAAGCCACACACGTCACCATTATTCACTAGAATCTTTCTTGTGAGTGGGTCGTTAATGGTTCACCCATAGCCCAAGTCCCATCTCATCCTAACTGTCAAATACACCTTTACCTCACACCCTACTACCACACCCTACTACCACACCCTAGACACACCTTACTACCACACCCTAGACACACCCTACTACCACACCCTACCATCTCATCCTACTACCTCACCCTAAACACACCCTACCACCTCAGGGTGCTCAATGGTAAGACGGGAGTAGCCACCTTTACCTCTGCCTTGTATATGGGAGAACAAATAGAAGTCATTTATATCTTGATCACCTTACACCACAACTTTCTGAACGCACTGTGAAGGTCTTATCGCCCCAGGGGTAGGGTGTTGACAGTCCCCTTGCACCGTTGTTGTGTGGGTACGATATAAGTGTAGAGTTGAGTACATAGTTCATGGTTAGTTGAGCTAGAGGCGAGTGGTGTGGTGGTGTCTGAATCTTGAGGGATGATGGAATGACAGGAGAATGTTTGTTTGATTGATTGATTAATTGAAACATTTTAATACTTTTATGTGGTAGAGTATAGGTTTATGGCCTATTAAACAGCTTGTCATTTTTGTTGCCAGCGGATTGAGGTTGTTTATTGAGGCACGGTTTTACGTTTGTCTGGTAAGAGTGGACTTATTGGCCTGTTTTGAGGTAGTGATACTCTTTGCCGTCATAATTATAGTCTGAGTAGTGCATCTCAAGTCTTGTTCTTGATTCGTGTGACAAAACTAAAGTTAATGTCAAGCTTATTGTCTTCTCGTGTCACAAACTTTCACCCTCTATGATGTCGTACTTCTAAAGGTCAATGTCAGAACAGAAATAAAAAGTACCTTCAGCTTGATACTGTGACTTCTAATATATATATATATAATCTGTTCTCCTTGTGATTAATAAACAATAGGAAGATTTTAATGTAGAACTGTAAATAAAATTGGATACATGCCTTGCTGTACGTCGCTCACCACCACCACTGCCAGTTTGTGTTAGCCCGCTCAGTCCGGTTTGCTATAATTATATTGGTCTCGTAAGAGTTGGTACCAACCTCCAGTTCCAGGAATGACCGGTGTTGGCCTTCATAGTTATCAAGTCCCTCAAGAATCTGGTCATGTTTTTGTTCATTGTTTGCCGTTGTCTACCAGGATTCTCGAGGGGTTTGGGTGATTGTTTGGTTGGTTGTTGCTACTTCTACCTGGTGATATGATTTTGTTGGTTGATGGGTAATTAGGTTGAAAGTAATTTTCGAAGGATTTAATTATGTTGGTTGAGTCTGTGGTGGTTGAAGACGATAGTTTGCTTCTGTAGGCTCTCTCTCTCTCTCTCTCTCTCTCTCTCTCTCTCCAGGGAGTGAGAGGTCAAATATGAGAAAAAGAGAGAGGCTGAATGAGAAAGAATGGAAGAGGTGGGTGAAAGAGAGAGAGGAAAGGCGAGAGGGGGTCAGAAGGAGGAAGGGAAGGTGAGAGGAAGAGAAGGGGGGTGATAAGGAGGAGGTGAGTTTGAGACAGGGAGGGAGGGTGAAAGAGAGGGAGTAACGGTGAGAGGTAAGGAAGGAGAGCGAGAGGGAAGGAAGAGTATAAGCGTGGGCAGGACAAGGTCACATTCTATTGTCATGCCCTACACACACACACACACACACACACACACACACACACATACACACACACACACACACACACACACACACACACACACACATACATACACACACACACACACACACACACACATACATACACACACACACACACACACACACACACACACATACATACATACACACACACACACACACACACATACACACACACACACACACACACACACACATACACACACACACACACACACACATACACACACACACACACACACACACACACACACACACACACACACACATACACACACACACACACACACACACACACACACACACACACACACACACACACACACATACACACACACACACACACACACACACACACACACACACACATACACACACACACACACACACACACACACACACACACACACACACACACACACACACACACACACACACACACACATACACACACATACACACACACACACACACACACACACACACACACACACACACACACACACACACACACACACACACACACACACACACACACACACACACACACACACACACACACACACACACAGACACACACACACACACCCACACACACACACACACACACACACACACACACACACACACACACACACACACACACACACACATGATTAAGGTCACCACTTTCCTGTTGTGAACTGTTCATTCCCTCTCTGTTTTTGTGTAACATTTTCCCCGTTATACAATGTTCCTTCACTACTAAACATACTCTTTCGTTAATGTTCAGTTGGGATCAAAACACGATGGACACTCTTAACAACATCTGGTTAATATTTCTCGTATCTTAAACCCCCGTTAATTTGTATATCATAAAATCCTAATAATTCACTTGTTTATGTTTTCTTCTTTTAAATCATAGTAAATTCATGAGACTTTATTCTCTTTAATCATTACAACCCCTGTCTTCATTTGTTACCATTCTGCCAACGTAGGATTTTGTGTGTGTGTGTGTGTGTGTGTGTGTGTGTGTGTGTATAAACTTTGATCTACATGAAACAACTGGGTAGACTGTGGGCGGTAAAGAAAGGAGACCCTAAATTATCTCCCTTCGTGAAACATAAGGTCACCCACTTACTTACCTGGCCTCTTAACACACTGCCTGTATGAGAAACTAACCACCAGGTATAGATACTGATCACATAGACACAGAAACTGATCAACCAATCATAAAAAGCATTGTTTAGGGGATTATAAGCCATATCGGGAAAAACTTATCACCTGACCACACGATCTGTTCTTCTCTCTCACCTGTGTTAATTATAGCATCAATGGGTTTGACCACCGTCCTCAAAGGGTTAAACCATATCCCTCGAAACGATGAACCATCTTCCGTAATGGGGTATATCACATTCCTCAAAGGGTTGAATCATCATAACGATTATACTTTGGTTCACCAGCATCCAGGTACCAGATCTATGAATTCAGTAAACACCGCCGCTGTACAGTATGTGAATTAGGGACCAATCCTTTAACATTGTCCCTGAATATATTATTATTATCTCTCTTGTGTTTTGATTCCAGTTTAAGGTGCGTCAGGGATGGACGGGTTTTTTATAGTACAGGGGGATTTATCAGGGCTAGATAATGGATAACAAATTTACCTTTATTGAGTTTTTAGGGATAGATTATGGACGTGTCGTTTGTTTTAAGGGGCTATAAAGTAGGACAAGTGGGTTTATACTTAGTTATCCATAAATTTTAAGTTAAATATGAAATTCCTCTAAGATATTCCTAGTAACGAAGATATTTAACAGTCAGTCGTGAGAGGTGGGAGACTGTTTGCACCTCAGTGATTTTTTTTTTAGCATATTGGACCTTGATTGTACGAATTTATGTACTTTGCACAGTTATCAGTAAGATAGCGTGAGTAGAGCAGTACAGCATAGTGAAAGGGATTACAACACACTGTACACTCAACCCTGCAGTCGTTACACAGGGAGGCAACTTTGTTCCCAATCCACTTGACCGCCATCACTTCTCTCAGTGTAAAATTACGTAACCTGAGATACACTTACAACTCCAGCGGTGCGAGAGAGAGAGTAGCTTAAGAGCCCAACACCCTACCTGCGTGTCAATGACCTTCTAAACTTTCCCTCCTCCCCTGCTGCCCCGCACCTCCCTCATATCACTAACTCTTCCACCTCTCATAACTCCATACCCCCAAACACCTCCTCTCTCCATCTTACCCTCCATAATTATCACTCACACTCCTACTCTCTGTACCCCCACCAAACAAACACTCTTACCTATACCCCATCATTACTGCGTTCCTTCCTTAGCCCCCTCACCTTGCCCCACTTTTCTACTCCTCTCTTCTCACCTGCACCCCACATCCCCCTCATTTTGCCCCCCTTCCCTACTCCTCCCTTCTCACCTGCACCCCACATCCCCCTCACCTTGCCCCCCTTCTCTACTCCTCCCTTCTCACCTGCACCCCCACAACTCCCTCACCGCCGGGAACCCCCTGAGGCAGGTACAGGTGTCGTGGCCCAGGATTGACCCGGCTTAAGTTTTTACGTCAGGTTTCTATTTATCCAGTTTGCCTTCATTTTCTTAACGCGGTGCAGGTCAAAAAATAGTTATAAAACCTTACGTTCACTCGTTACCGTAAGAGCAGCGAGAGATCACATTACCTTCAACTAAGTGATGTCTATGATTTCAGTTCTGCTGTTGTTTACTATTAAAAAATCCATGGATGGTGTTTGTCTTTGCTTCTATGTGTCTGTCTGTCTTACTATCTATCTTTCTATATATCTATATGTCTATCTTTCTGTGTATCAATCTATATTTATCTATATCTTTGATTATCTTTCGAACTATCTCTCTATCAGTCTATCCATCTTTCTCAAATTCTACACCAGAACATCATCCAGGCTTCGGTTAACACATATCGCGTGTAGAAATATTTAATAACTTATTTAATTACCATCACATACATTTGTTATGGTTGTTAGTATTTAGTGTTGTTCCATTACTTATAGCGATGCCATAAGTGCGTGTGTGTGTGTGTGTGTGTGTGTGTGTGTGTGTGTGTGTGTGTGTGTGTTTTGGAGGACATTTTCCAAGACTTCTTAAAACCTTCTCTTGATACCTCACAGTGACTATTTATATACGGCATTATATCGTCTAGTAACGCTGAGACTTATTTCTTCTCCCTCAGATACGACATCCCAGGATTCCCAGCGCCCCCACCAGCAGCATTCGGGAGTGATGACCCCCTTGGCCGCATCACCTTTGTCGCCCACTTTAAGCCCTTCAACCTCTCCTCCAGCTTCGAGACAGTCAAAACCATTGCGTCCAACCCTTATGGACTCTACCCTAAGGTACAGAAGCTCGGGGCGTCTCCATCAGTCTTCAAGAGTTCTGTCGGCGTCATTGCTTCAAACCCATATGGCTTCTCAGAGAACTTGGAGAAAGAGAGCTACAAACCCAAAACCGCCGGCAGCAGCTTCGTGAAGATAGCGACCATCCCTAACAACCCTTACGGGTATGCTTTGGAGATCGAGAAGCTAAGTGATCCGGCCGAGGCATTTGAATCAGTTCCGGAGATAGCCTCGAATCCTTACGGTTATTCAAAGAATATCCAAGTTGGGAGATACAGTCCAAGAAACGTTGATAGTGTGTTTGAGAAGGTAGAAGACATCAGTGAGAATCCTTATGGGTACTCAACAGAATTCAAGAAGCTTGATGAAAATGAAGCTTTCGAAGCTGTTCCTTTAATTCCTTTGAACCCATATGGTTTTTCTGAGAATATTCAGACAGAGAGTTACAGACCTAGATATGTTGGCAGTTTGTTCCAGAAGATAGAAACCATCGCCGACAATCCCTATGGATATTCAACTGAGGTAAGAAAATTAAGTGACAAGCCTGAAGCATTTGAAGCTATTCCAGTCATTGCTTCGAACCCCTATGGCTTCTCTGAAAACATCCAGAAGGAGTCCTACAGACCACGAACTGCTGGTAGTTCTTTCAATAATGTGGGAACTATCGTTGATAATCCATATGGATATTCTATTCATATTAAACAACTGGGGAGCAAGTCGGAGGCTTTTGAACTTACTGAGACAGTTGCGTCGAACCCTTATGGTTTATCTGAAAATGTTGAGAGTGAGAACATCGTACCAAAAACACTTGGCAGTGGCTTTGCTGAAGTAGAGGTACTTGCCGATAACCCGTATGGCTTCTCACCAGGGCTGACGAAGCTAGATGAGGAGCCTCAGGCCTTTGAACAAGTTGAATCGATACCAATAAACCCTTATGGCTTCTCTACAAACATTCAAAGAGATATATACAGAGTCAAAGACTTTGGCAGCAGTTTTGAGAAGGTAGAAACTATCCCTGATAATCCTTATGGATACTCAACTGAGATTAAGAAGCTAAGAGATGCTCCAGTAGCATTTGAAACCTTTGATATAATCGCTTCCAATCCCTTTGGCTTTTCTCAAAATATCGAGCAGAAACCTTACAAGATGAGGACCGCCGTCAGTGGCTTTGAGAAGGTAGAAGCTATTCCCACAAATCCTTATGGCTTCTCCGAGAATATCGAAGAATTAAAGGAGATCCCAGGATCATTTGCTCCTGTAGATTTGATCTCTGTGAATCCTTATGGCTACTCCGATCAGATTCAGGCACTGCCTTACCGCCCACGAGAGAAGACAAGTGGATTTGCTGGCTTTGCGACAATACCTACAAATCCATATGGATGTACATCGGAAGTTTATAGAAAGATAGACGACACTCCCTCGGGATTTGAAGTGTCAGAACTGATCTCCAAAAATCCATATGGTTTTTCTCAACAAGTAGAAACGGGATCCTACGCCCTAAAATATCGTACAACAGGTTTTTCTGCATTTGAGTCTATTCCAGTTAATCCCTATGGGTATCCCCTTTATGAGGACAATGAACGCAGTGGCAGTCAGCCTAAAGTGCTGAGAAGGCTTGATGAGGCTAAGAATGCTTATGAAAATGTCGATAAAATTATCAGAAACCCGTATGGCTTCTCCGAGATACATGTAAGAGAAAATTATAGCCCAAAATATAGCCAGTCAAGCTTTGCAGCTGGTGAGTTAATCCCAGATAACCCATATGGATATTCAGATCAAGTCGTTTCCCTCAACCAAGAACCTCATGGTTTCGAAGAAGTTAGTAACATTAAAAACAATCCTTATGGTCTGCCTGAACTAATTGACCCTTACAGTCTCCCTAATAATTTCGAGAGACTGGCACACAGTGCAGGTGTCTTACAAAGTGGATTAAAGGCACCTGTTCGCATCGTATCAAATCCTTATGGTTATTCTGAAAATATTGAGAATTTAGATGATGAACCAAGCAGTTTTGACTCTGTCAGATTGATTCCTCTCAATCCTTATGGATTTTCTGAGAAAATAGAACGAGGGCACACAAGTCCTCGCAGTCGACCATCTTCGTTTGCAAAGGTTTCTTCCATTCCATCCAATCCCTACGGACTAACGGATGACTTAATTAGACTTGATGATATTCCATCTAGTTTTGCCAATATGAGAAGCATTTTTCAAAATCCTTATGGATTCTCTCAACATATCCAGGGAGCCTCAATCACGCCGTCATCACGATCGTCTGGATTCGCAAGCTTTGAACAAATACCATCTAACCCCTACGGGTTCTCAGAGAAAATAAGGACATTGTCACCCTCCCCGACCGCCTTCGAGAACACTGAACATATCCCAATTAATCCATATGGTTATTCCACAGAACATGTTCTCGGGTCCTATACATCCAAAAGTCTGCCCTCGAGTTTCGTAAGATATCCTTTAATATCCAAAAACCCATATGGGTTCTCAGAAAAGGTGGAGTCTATTCCTGATGCTCCCACACCATTTGTGACTGTAACAAGTATTCCTGAAAACCCTTATGGCTTCACAAGGTTTGTCGAACACCCCAGTTATAAAAAGAGAGAAAGATCATCCAGTTTCCAGGCTATAAAGTCAATACCTTCCAACCCCTATGGCTTCTCTGACCAGTTTGAGAAAATAGACGAATTACCAGGAGGTTTTGCGAGCGTCAAGGCCATCGATGTCAACCCATATGGATATTCTGAATACATTCAAAAAGCTCCTGAGTCAAAGAAGGAACTCACTTCAAGTTTTGTCACTTTCGACAATATTGCTACCAACCCTTACGGATTCGCCTCCGAAATCGAGAAGCTGAAAAGCGCAGAATCAACTTTCGAAGAATTCGAGAGAATCCCAGCAAATCCCTATGGATACTCCAGCCAGATACAACGCTCATCTTTTTCCCCATCCACGCGTACCTCTAGTTTTGATGCCGTTGACTCCATTCCCGAAAATCCATACGGTTTTTCCGACCAGGTAGAACAGCTTGACCTCGAACCCTCGTCGTTTGGTAAGACCGAAAACATCGCCAACAACCCGTACGGCTTCTCTGATCAGATTCAGAGTGACTATTACAAGCCAAGTGACCTCAAAAGTTCTTTCCACCAATTGAAGGAAGGCACCGATGTCCTTCCTTCGACCGATAAAATCCAATCCAATCCCTTCGGCTTCTCTGAGCATATCGAAAAGTACCCCGACACCGAGTCCAGCTTCAGTAACTTCAGTCAGATTAATATCAATCCTTACGGCTTTATATCGGCCATCGAAAAGGAAGCCATTGCTTCCAGGACACTCGACACTCCCTTTGAAAAAAGTGGCCACATCTCTTCCGATCCCTACGGCATCGACATTAAGATGGAAGACTTCGGAGCATTTACAACAGCCTTCGAATCCTTGAAGACCATTTTTGTCAACCCTTATTCCTTCTCAGACGGAGTGCCCATGCAGCCTTTCCCTAGTTCCTTCTCTCACACCACCAAAATCGGCCAGAACCCTTACGGCTTCCAAAAGGTGTTTAGGTCCTCTAGTGCCTAGGGACATAACTTTATGGTCCCAGTGGCATCGTCAGGGAAGGAAAATATTAGTGATTGTAGTTTTGAGAAAGGTGACAAGAGTGGTCAGAAAAGTAACAACAGTAGTGACAACAGTAATGACAAAAGTGACTTCAGTAGTGAGAAAGTGACAACCACCACATAATTGACATCATAAACTATTTCAGGAGACTGACAACGCCTTTCCTTTATCCACACCTAAGTAATTATCACATATGTTACATCATATTTTACGGTGCATTACTTTCATTACGATTTATTTTTCTCATTCTTTATTGTGTTCTAAATACATTCAAGTTCATGTTAATTGATTGTATTACATTTTCTTTTGTCACTTTTCAAGAAATATTTATCGTGTGCAAGTCTTATCTTCAAGTCACCACAGAAACACGAAAACTAACTCTCTCTCTCTCTGTCTATCTCTCTCTCTGTCTATCTCTCTCTGTCTATCTGTGACGGTCGAATAAAAAAAAATAATCCAATCTGTCTTCAAATCTAACCTTAATCTTACGAACTAATACAATTATTTTCCTCCTCCACACAAATATTATTATATTAACTATATCCTAACATATGAGAATCACTTGTAAAATCCTACTAAAAGATTTGACAACTTATTTGATTGTTTCTTTGTCCTGTTTTGTGTGATTGTGAAGCAGCATATATAGGTAATGTAATTAGCTTAGGTCGTTGCATTTGCTTACTGAATGTTACACTGAACGCAAATATCCTGCACCCCACAGCCAGCTCACTTCATGGGTTCTTCACTGCACCCCTGGCCTGCTTGTATCATGGGTTCTTCACTGTACCCCGGCCTCTTTATATCATGGGTTCTCCACCATACCCCCCAGCCTGCTTATATCATGGGTTCTTACTGCACCCCTGGGTTCCTAAATCTCAATCTGTCCATACGATGGTCGAGTAGATGTAGAACACGACTCCTCGCCAAAAAGTCACTGGTTCGAATCCCCATCCTAGCAACTTTCACCAAGGTAGTGGGAGGACTTAATGAAGAGTTGTCTCTAGTTCCGGGTACAGAGACTGACCCAAGTAAAGACCTGGAATGACCTGAAGGAATGAAAGGTATTCGATTATCTTCATCAAATAGGTCAGGTCAATAACCCTTTGAGTAGGAGGAAGAAATCCCTCGAGTTGTTGGTCGTTGTCTTTAAGGAATAGCTCATTGTACTCACATGGATTAAGTCACTGTACTTGAAGGGTTATCATCTTACTGAAGGAGGTAAGGCATTGTATAATCAAGTGGTTAAATCATTGTACTCAAAGGATTAAGTCATCGTTCTTAAAAGGTCAACACCGTGTACTGAAGGGTTAAGTCGTAGTACTCGAGTGGTTAAGTAGCTGTACTCAAGGGTTTAACAGGCATTTAATAACTCAAGGTACAGCATTTGTCCCACACTCTACGGGGTAATGGTTTCACTCACTAAGAATGAAAAGGTTACGTTTATTTGTATATAAATACTTAGAGAACCAAAGCATTAATAAATATCTTTAAGTGAATAGGAATTACGGTCAACATTACCAGTTTTGTGTGTATAGCAAACTGATCACCTGAAGATTACATTAGGTTAAGTAAGGATAAGTTAGCCTAGGTTAATGTTGTTATTCTTCAGTTGAAATAAACTGGGGTGTCTAATCTTCAGATGGTCCTGGTATATCATCACAAACTGTACAAAAAAGTAAAAAATTCTGAAAAAATGCAAACCATATGAAGAAAAAAATTATTTATTATAATATAATTATTCAACGTACAAAATTAAATATATGTAAAAACAAGTTACAATAGTAAATTATATAGAATATATACAGTAAATAAAAATTAAAAAAATCAGGTAAGTACAGGCTATAACATCAACTAAGAAGAGAATTATTAATTATGTTCCGTTAAAATGAGAATATCACAATAAAACATGACATACATACATACATACATACATACATACATATACAAGCAGTTCAACAGTATTTGTCCCATTCTACCTTAAAAGCCCTACAAACTACTCACTTGTCCTTTGAATTTAGTAACAAGGCGAACTGTCCTCAGGTAAGTGTGTGGTGACGGCTGGTCCTCCAGTGTGTGGTGACGGCTGGTCCTCCAGTGTGTGGTGACGGCTGGTCCTCCAGTGTGTGGTGACGGCTGGTCCTCTAGTGTGTGGTGACGGCTGGTCCTCCAGTGTGTGGTGACGGCTGGTCCTCCAGTGTGTGGTGACGGCTGGTCCTCCAGTGTGTGGTGACGGCTGGTCCTCCAGTGTGTGGTGACGGCTGGTCCTCCAGTGTGTGGTGACGGCTGGTCCTCCAGTGTGTGGTGACGGCTGGTCCTCCAGTGTGTAGTGACGGCTGGTCTCCAGTGTGTGGTGACGGCTGGTCCTCTAGTGAGAAACTGCCTGTGTGGCCAACATTACTGCCAAGATGTTTACAACAAACATAAAATTATCCTGAAGTTAACCCCTGAAGCCACAGAGAAACAGTTAAGACACAAATGTTTCAGACTAAACTTTCAGGGTCGATCACGGTAAAATGTGGTGAAGGTGTTGTGCTATTGAAGTAGCTTTATGCATTTCTCTCTTTAGGAGTAGTTAGGGTGTTAGACTTTGGTTCTTAATGATAATAGTACGTATATATCTTACAAAGTTTAGAGGTAAAACTAATATGGTTGAGTCATTAACCTTTAAAGGTAGGTTGTGGTTAACTCTAACAGTAAGATCACCACAATCTCTGAATCCTCATCTTTATCTGAAGTGAATAAAGTTTCGTTTGTTTCATCTTTAACCCTTCAAGGTCATCGTCCTCAAAGAGTTAAGTAAGTCAGACACAATTTATTATGCAACAAATTGTTATAAATATATAACGAGACATTAGGCAAACTGTTGGCTTGAGATATAACGCTGGTGGTTACTGAGTGATGCGTGTTGGTCGAGGCAAAATAAATTGATAATGAACAGGGAGGTGAGAAGGGACTCCATCACTAGCACTCAACGTGAGTCTTGAGGCAGGTGTCGCTTCCTAAGAGATTTTTTAAAACAATTTATCTAGTCCAACTGAATCGATTATGTTTATGGAAATAAGATCAGAAATTATATTCATAGTTTCCATGACAGAAAGACGTTTGTGAATACTGTACACCTTGTCATCAGTTCTTGTGATAGCCAGCCATTGATCTAAACTTTGCTTGAGTACCTGACTTTATACGGGGAAGTGAAAGTGCCCACCACACTGTGTCTTTGTGTGTCGTAGGTTTACTGGACATTTACCTGCACTGTCAGGAGGAGAAGACTCACTTTCACTTCTAACTAGACTTGTCTCGGTGTGGTCATGAGTGTGGGCGCCATGGACCGCCCCAACCACCACCCGGGAGAAACATTCTCCAACAGTGGGTTATATAACAGAGGAATAAAACATCACTTAGTTTATATTAGTAGCTGCTGCCACACTGTCGGTCAGGAAATAACCACCACTCAAATATTTCTTCCCTTTATTCCACATGCGTGTACAAATTAACGATATAAAGCCCTGCTGTAAACAAACTATATACAGGTTGGCACAGAAGTAATTTTACCAAAGTCGTAGTTTCACTCAAATTGTTCTTTGTAAACTGAATTATGCGCCGCCCTGTACAAAATATATACAGCATAAATAAACTCAATTTTAAAATCTATTCTAAGTGAAACATAAATAGTTCAATCTGTCAGAGCTTCAAAACACCAATAGAACAACATCCATGTGAAATGCTTTCGTCATTAATACAGTTAATGAAACAAAGCTTTAGGTGTGAAGACTATGATATTGTTTTACATCTAAAATGAGAAATGGTACACTTGTTTTTCATGACAAAGTTAAGTTTTTTAGTTTTGAAATTGTCTTGTATTTATAACGTCACAGATGTTATTAGAGGTATGCAGCTCCGTTTATGACGTCACAGGATTTGTAGACCAATTAATGACGTCAGGATTTTTCTAGACCACTTTATGATGTCACAGTATTTTCAACCCACCTTCAGATATATCTGTTAAGGTCAGTTTTTTACGTCACGGGCCTTTTGGATAGATCTGGCGCCTTCACGACAACAAACGGGTCTCCTAAACTGCCTGCATTAATCTGTTGGGCTGCTCTTATTTTACCGTCAACCTGGAGACCATCTTTCTCCTTCCCACTGGTCTCTGTGTTTCCAATTGTCTCTTTGCTAACACCGAGACCTCCACTTCTGTCTCCACCATCATCATCATCGTCACTTCTGTCTCCACCATCATCATCATCATCGTCACTTTTGTCTCCACCATCATCATCGCTACTTTTGCCCCCATCATCATCATCGTTACTTTTGTCTCCACCATCATCATCGTCACTTTTGTCCCCATCATCATCTACACCTCTGTCTCCAGCGATAACCTGGCGATTCCTTCTCTCGCCATACAGCTGTGGGCCTCCGTCAGCCAGCATCTCAGAGATCCTCCACGCCAGCAGCTGCGACTCACTAGGGTTCATAGGAGGCAACAAATAAGGACTCACACTTCCAAAGTCTTGAGGACCTGGTGGGTGTGAGAAACTGCTGTTCATGTTCATGGATGTCTCTGTCGGCCGGTTTTCTGTAGTCTGCAGGCTGACGCGCGACCTTTGTTGATGGATAAAAGGTTGTAGGAATTTTTCCAGTGGTTTCGTGAATCTTTCCAGAGGATTAACGTTCGTCTCCTGGGTGTCTGTGTACCTTTCTCCTGGCGCAGTGAGGCGTGTGGAAGGCAGGGGTGGGCGCTGAAGATCATCAAAGGAGTCGGATTCTGTTTGCTTCATAAAAGAATCCCAGAAAGAAATTGCTGTCTCTAGGAATCTTTCCACCTTGTTGCCTGTGTCCAGGGCACTCATGGTTTCGTTGTTTGAGATCAAATCTAGTACTGGTATAAGTTTCGAGAGACCAGTGGAGTTGATGGGGTCATCCTGAGTTTTGTTGACTGCTGCTTGTCCTCGATCTTGGTGGTTGTTGGGGCTCTCATTACCTCTTGGGAAATCCAGTTGATGGCGATCGTCAGCGACACCCTGCTGGCCCGGACGATGAAAATAGTAGTAAGCTTGTGATAGGCTTGAAAGAGGTGAGTTATTTGATGCATTCGTGTTCTGTGGTTCCATCCCGGACGCGATGTTCAGGTGTATCAGAGGATTCCTAGGGTCTTGGCCGTTGGCGATGGAGCTGTTCATTCGTAAGATGTTGGAGAGCTTCAGCAGTGAGTTTCTCTTCATTGGGGAAGAGAATCTGATATGGATATCAAAAGGTGTTGAATGATCATCGCTATGAGGAGCACTTTTTTCTCGTAGACGAGCATTGGTGTTGCTAGAGGTCGTGTCAGGCGGTGAAAACAAGTTCGTAACTTTTCCCGGGCTGAGGTCAGATCCTAAACGTTTCAGGATGTCGACTTTCATCCAATTTAACGCGTCATCTGCACCTGTGGTAATATTTGTTTGATTTCCTTCATCTTCTGATGCTCCAGGTCTGTTTTGATTCGTCGAACTGAAAGCTGTATTACCCTTTGAATGTAACGACTTATTAATATCTACGTCTAAATATATTTCTTTATTTAGATAATCACCAATGTCTAGGGTAAGAACACCCATCGACCCCATGTTAATTTCTGCTGCTACCCACGAATCTCTGGCCCGTGCTGATCTTACGTCTTCACTATCCTCGACCATCATGGATTTCCGCATAATTCGATCTACATATTTCTGCTCGGGTGGTTGAGACAAGGGTTTTCCGGTCAGCTTGGAGATCATTGTGTCGAACTGAGAGAAAGTTAAGGTATCCTGCTGTGCGTCGCCTTCTTCACCTGAGTCATGTTTAATCTTCGCCAATTTTGATGCTAAATTTGACTGTTTGTCTACTTCTTCCATATCTTCCTCGGGTCGTCCTCCAGTTTTCATTTGCGTGTCCCGAGGCGTAAAATACCTCTTAATAAATTTAAGCCATTCTGTCCCTTCTAACAAGCTACTGTAGCCTGTATGATTCGCCTCACCTTGCGAGTTAGGATTTGGTAATTGAGAGTCATTTGCATGAATCCCTCTTAGGGTGTCTGTTGATATGTTCGTCTTACTTTCTTTCATCATAACTCTCTCAGTATTCTGGGTCGTTTTGATGTGGCGGAAGAGGTGGGCGAGCCTTGCAACTAAGTCCTGGTCAGTGACAGTAGGAGGTGACGGATCATGATCCTCGGATGACCCGGCGTTGGTCTCAGAAGTTTTGAAATTCTCTTGATCTTCTTCCTGTTCTGTTGGGAGACGAGGGAATTGTGAGGGGAAAGAAGTGAAAGCTAATAAATGTGGAATATCTGATAGAGAAGAGATGTTAAGAAGATGAAATGGATAGCTAACACCGGAAGAAAGAGGCGCATATGGAAAGGACAAAGGTGCGTGAGACGACTCAGAGGGAGGCGATCGAACTGAGATGGGATGAGAAGTGACGGAAGGCGAAGAAGAAACAGCAGATCTCAAGGGAGATTCTGTCAAAAACGACACAACAGGATCTATCGAAGGAATAAAAGCAGAATCATCGTCTATCGGGAGATCAGAGTAAGTGAAGGGCGTCCTCTTCAGGGCTTGGTGTGTGTCGGGTGAACTTTGTGTTGTGTAGTCTCTTTGGGAGAGGTCTAGTAGCGAGGGTTGCACCACAGATGAAGAAGGTCTCTCGGTGTTTAGAGACAGGAAATGAGATAAATAAGGAGAAAGAGAAGAAGATCGTTGGTGCCTCCTTATGAACCAGTTAGATGATGAAGATGGATAAACAGAAGGATAATAAGGAAACGAAGGCGAAAATGTAATTGAAGATGATGTCTTGGCATAAAAAGAAGAGTCAGGATTGAGAGTGGCAGTTGGAGAAGCAGTAATAGACGAAGATCTTAGAGAGAGGAGGGAAGAGTACGCGGAAGAAGGTGTGGAGATGTCAACTAAAGGCGATGAAGCAATTGGGTATTCCAGAGAATGGGATGTAGGTTGTAATGGGACGGAATATGTAAGGAACTGATTTTGATGACTAAGGTGTCCATTTTCATCAACTGTAATCACAGATGAACCGCGACCAATCTCGTTATTCTGAAAAAAATATAAAATAACATTCTAAATTATTATGTTAAAGTTATATACGGTTGGTTGTACGTGTCCATCCTAAATCCCAAACACATAATGCAATCTATATTTGTATCAGTTGTCTCTAAACCTAAACCTAATTATCCCATAGAGTTTATGTTGTTAAATAAACTGTAGTCATTTATATTTTTACACTAACATTGTTGAGTTCCCTTGGTGATCTGATGACGCCTCCGTACTGCCCGTGTTTACCATAGCTTTCCTTAGATATCATTTTCTTTGTTACCCAAACGCAGTTATAGACAGAACATGGATATTGAAGCGAATCCACAGATGGTACACTGTAAGAGAAATGGGGAAAATCAGTTTCTTAAACAGTATACAGTACTGTATGCACAGTAGATGATCACATTACTTAATATTAAAATGAAGTCAAAGACACATTGGTAATTTGATTCTTAGCTTTCGGGTGTTGAATTATTTTTATTATTATTATTATTATTATTATTATTATTATTATTATTATTATTATTATTATTATTATTATTATTATTATTATTATTACACATACTTATGAGACAGTATTCTGTCCAGTAAGAGTTTATTTAATAGGAGTGTGTTTGTGCTGTCAGACAATCCTCGCCAAGAACAAGCTGCTAACGAGCCGATCAGTGGCGAAGAGAATAAAAGTAACACATCATGCTTTACGGTTACATCATCTGCGTGAGTGTTTCGAAAATTATTTCCTGTACCAAGTTTCAGCAAATCAGCAATTATTTCACTCCTGACTGATCCTTTTATTGCTTAATCATTGCACAGTGCGTGGCCCGTGGCCTTGTTTATATAGGTTTATATAGGTTTCATTGCTTTTCATGATCGAGCTTAATATTTTGCTCTGTGCCTTCTTAACATATTCAGTAAGTTTCCGTAAATCTTAATGTGTTTTTTTCTTTGACTGAGCGTCTCTCCCATTTATGAATTTATATATTTTTCTGGTCCGATAAGAGGTGTAATGAAGGCCATGTTTGGTACGATAGTTTCATACATAAATTCTCACATCTCACATAAGGGTTCTAGTTATTGTTAGTGGTACTGTGGTGGTACGCTTGCCTCTCTACTGCTTTGCGAGTTGAGTCCCAAATGGCTAGTAAGCTGACAGTGTTGGAAAAGATAAATGGATAGAGAGCCCCGTGGAAAGCTTATAAGGATTTTCATGAGCTATCTTAGGATGAATCGAGTTTTTCTTTACCACCATTGTTTGTATACTTGCACTGTCTGCGTATATATTGGATCAGTGTAGATTGTATAACGATTTTACTAAATAGACATTTGTATTATTCATATATCTCAGAATGTGGTTTTTTTTTGTGAACAAGTGTGTGAGTGTGTGTGAATATTTCTTCATGTTGTCTTGCCTCCTCATTGTTGACCCCCAATACCTCTGCTCCACCACTTTCCTTGACATTCCTCCCCTTCCTTTAACTCCGTACACAATCATCCAAACAATATCGAAAAGAGAGAGGAATAATGACAATAAGTTGATAGATAGAGAGATTGATAGATAGATAGACGTTATAGATAGTTACATTAGAAATATCAAAAGTGCAAATGCTGGCTTCAAATTTTTTCATGATTTAAATCGGTAGCCTTGTTTCTCTAACTACAGACACGGCACAAAGCTACAATAGTCTCAACACAATACCGGCGACATTTTGGGTTTTCTATTTAGGCTGAAGTGAGTAGACTAGACGTCCTCTCATATCTCCACTACGGGAATATGTAACTTGAAAACGTTTTTTGTCACAGGAAGGATTAACATGCGTTTTCATTTCTCCAGTTACTAGGGAGGATTTAATGGATTTATTCACGGTTTTTGTTGGTTGTGCTTATGGTGAGTTTACTCGTTGTGGCGGTGATGAGAATTTGTGGATATTTGTTTTAATTTATACAACTAATTTTCCGATTATGGTGTTGAGTGGCCGGATAGGTGTTGATCTCCTTACTCTTATCATTCAGCAGCTAGTGGGTTACTTCACCATCTTGACAGGATGCTAGTCTACAGTACCCAGGGGTTGTTCCACTATGGGCTAGTACGCCCCAGAGTGTATTTATTTTTTACTGTTGCACAGAGACTCGTGTACAAGAGGGAGCCCTGTCTACATTGGTCGGAAGTTGATCCTGTGACCATTTGTTCATTAAAGGGAACACTTTACCACTGAGTAAAAAAGTCCCTTAAACTACACATGCAAAGTAATACAAGAACGGGGCTGAATCTAGCTTACTAAATTGCTGTCCAATATTTATTTCATGTCTTCGGGTAATGTGATCGTAGTAAGGCTTCATTCCTCTTTTCACTCTACAACTGGTGGACGCATCAGGGCTCTGAGCATAATACATTTCACCGTGCAACAAAAAAAATTATATTTATTCCTCTATAAATAAGACTTACTAATTTCACTTATTCACACCTGATAAATATATAATTACCTGCTTGTCTATACAGGTAGAGTCATGGCAGCTAAGATTCAACGTTACTAAATGCAAGATGCAACTTGGTCATAGCAATAGTAAGGAGATGTATCACATGTCCCAACGTAATATGGAAACATCATTTACTGAAACTATATATGAAAAAGACCTGGGTGGTTTATGTTGACAATGAACCGATGTTCTCGGATAATTGTGAGAAGATGAATCATGCTCATAGTGGCCTCACACCTACCTAGATGATTCTTCCCACATAAGGCTCTTCAAAAGTGAGGTGCTCCCACACTTTGAATAATGTCGTTCTGTTTGGTCCCTGAAATATGTTGAAGACTGACAGTTTGGTTGAGAATGTCCAAAGGAGGACTACCAAACTGAACCCACATGCCAAGAGATATTAGAACGTCTTCATCTACTGTAGACGGGCAAAGGGTGATTTAATAGAGTTTATCATCACCTAAAAGGACATTACTCAGTCAAGTGTTCATATGTGGAGCTAGTGGGTGGTCGCCCATCATGTTAAAGAAGCCACAAGTATAAAAACAAAATCTGCCAGAACGAACTCCTTTAAAGTAAAAAAGTTGCGAACGTTTAAAATAACGACACCGACTGTGAGCTCATTTAAAACTAGACCAGACCAACACTGACACAGGTACAGTACATTCATCAGCCCATGCAGACCTTGTAATAGAGTCCTGATCGACCGACTACTGATAAAGAGGATAACTCTTGTATATGCACAAGTCTGTACCACTGAATCACTGTCTTACTCTATCAGTGTATCAGTGCACCATTGTATCACTATATCAATGTATCACGATCAATGTATTACAGTATCCCTATATCACAGTATTACAGCATTAACGTATCAGAATACCACCGTGTCATTGTATCACAGTATCGTTGTATCAATACACTTCATCAAGTAATTGCGTTACTGTAGCATCACATTACTCCTCACGTGTCAGTAATTAACAATACTACACGCAGGTGGTGGTGGGGGGGGAGGGGGTCTACCTCGTGTCAAACAACCATCCCCAAAACTTAATGTTGCAATGCCGATCATCTCTTGTAACGGGGTAAATTATAACACGTATTATGAAAATTTCTCTATGACACATACCAGAATATTACGAAGGACCCGAATGACGCTGATCTGAATGACGTCATGATTGATGATTGATGATTGATGAGGTTGAAGTTATGGGGATTGATACTACCCCCTCCCCTCCCATCGCCCCCTTCCCCACTTGAGGAATTTCTAGGTCCACTACTGGTTACCAAAATGATACCAAACCGCTTTCATCCTCATGGTTTAAGGTGGATTAGGTTTAGTTTGGTTTAGGTTAGATTAGTTAAGTTTAATCAGTTTATGCATCTTCCAAGTTGTTTATATTTTTTACTTAATTTTACGAGGATCTTGAGTAAAAATTCTCTCTCTCTCTCTCTCTCTCTCTCTCTCTCTCTCTCTCTCTCTCTCTCTCTCTCTCTCTCTCCTTGATACTTATAAACACCAGTTCTTGTTTGCCACTCTACAAAATTGACTGATCAACTAATTAGTAATATCGATACAATAAAAACAAGCAATATATTCAATGTGTTTTCCTCGTATTAGATAGATAGATAGATAGATAGATAGATAGATTCGCCATACAAGTTCACATTAGTTGAGCATTCGGGTACAGTGTCAAAAAACAAAAACACTAATAAACCATGAATCGATTCAAGGAAGGACAGCCCAAGTTAACTGTTAAAAGCTTTATTTCCACAGGCGTTGTATGACCCAGTCGACTCGTCAGTGAGCGTGTACTGTGTGGAGGTGGTTTTATTTTGTCCACTTCTCATGTTCCCTCGTGAATGCTTGTAATGCTTCGCTACTCCCCTTGCACAGGATTGCCAGTTGGTGTCCTATAAAGTAGCCCTCTGAGAGCCCCTGTGTGTGTGCCCGGCATAATATGACTAACACTGCACTCAAACGTAAATATATATTGAGCGCCGTACCTGAGTCGGTGGCTTGTTCCGTTTTCTCATTCACAAAAAAATACAACTTTCAATTTCATTTCTATCAGCAATCTTGTAGGGTTTTTTTTTCGTCGTTTAATGTTAGATCAATGAACAGTATATTTTGATAATAGGTTTAATTAGAGAAAATCACTTAAGGGGAGACTACACTAACCTGACGTTGTATTGTCTTGCAGTCGAAGTTCCTGAACCAGACGCCTCCGTGAGTGACCACCCAGACCATGACGTCACCACCTGCAACGGTGCCACATACTCTCTTTGATTATTGTCCTAAAGTTATATAATGAAGCAAATTATACAAATAAGTGATATATATTTACATAAACAAGTGTAGACGTGTGTATCTATGTACTTATAATAATTCAGGTTATTGTTGTGGAAGGTAAGAGGGCAACATGGGATTTATTAATACTTTTATATAAAGCTGATATACAGTTTCCTCTGCATGGGTACAAATTCTCAAAGGTCAGTAGGTTAAATCCTCCTCTATATAGTGATGTGTGAATACCTCTTAACTACGACATAGACAACGTACAGCAGACAACGTGAGAATTACACTGAGAATCAACTGTAACTCGACTCCTCTCATCACCAGCTACGAGGGAAATTTTTTTTTACCCATGAATTTTTTTAGGATATCCTAGTCATGTGTCCTGATTCTCGGAAGTTCAGTCATAAAAGCGTTTCCCCGTGACTGAGGGTTGAGTCTCACTGCAGTTTCGACTCAATGTTTATCCTAATACTATAAGTCAACTCGTTATGGGAAAAAATTATGTTTGAAACCTTTGAGAATAGTTCTATGGTATTGGTATTTATATGAGCTAGCTAAATGCATTATCAAATCTCAGTTATTCGAAAATTTGACTTAAGAATCTTTGAAAATCCATCTTTATGTCGTCTTATAGGTGGATTTCTTTGATAAATTCTCACATCTCTAATTAAAGGAAGGATATAACTTACGCTCCTTTGTGTCTAAGGTGGAGAATTCATCCTACGATATGCTTATGACATCCTGAGACGAGACGCTGTGTTTTGTGCTGGAGGCTATTACTACCATGACAGGAAGATGTTGAGGATGTTGGTGGTCACACACACACACACACACACACACACACACACACACACACACACACACACACACACACACACACACACACCACGTACACACTGGGGCTTCACGTAGTGCATCCTTAGTAAATGGTATCTGTCATTCACACCAAGCGTTCGTATTATGCTGAGTAATTACACCATGTATCTACAGTGTTTGTGGCCAGACCATATTTCTACTCCCATGTGTTCACACAATCTGTCCGTACTATGTCTACACTATGTGTCTGCACAGTATGTCTACATCATAGGTCTACATCAAATGTTAATGCCGTTTGTTCACACTATGTGTACACACCCTGTGTCTACACAATGTGTTCACATCAGGTGTACACAACCTATGTCAACACCTTGTGTCTACCTGTGTATACGCTATGTATCCACAAAGTTTACACATCATGTATCCACACCATGTATCTGCAATATACATCATAACAGGTGTCACATCATCCTCTCAACACAAATTCCCACACCAGACCCTCGAAGACTTGTAGGTCGAGTTTCCCCGTAAGAGAGAACACTTCCAGCTACAGTACAGTACTGTGCTGTACAGTCTCTATAATGTCCACGTTGTATGTGTTGTAGTGCACCAGTAATATGGCTCCTCACATCTCCACTTCAGATGAAAACTTAACTTACGCGTCTTGAGAATCTGTGGCCGAGGACTTACAACATCAAGACGTGGTTTTAGTGAATGAAGTTGTACGTCATTTGCATATTTCTCTATCTTTAGTTTAAATAGGGTAAGCAAATTAATGTAGAAAACTCTTGCTTATATATATATATATATATATATATATATATATATATATATATATATATATATATATATATATATATATATATATATATATATATATATATGTATATATATATAAATTTCGTTTTGTTGTCAGGTTAAAGCTAAGCTGGAGAACACCGTAAACAAGACTTACTAAAAGAACCACATGCGTCGTCAACATCACGAACGCCCTGGCGTATTTGTGACGTCACTGCAACATCAGATACGAGGAAGAAGACAAAGACAGATATAAGTACAGTACAGTACTTGGAATATTAACTAAACCTGTTTCGTCACTTTGAATTATTAACAGTATTTGGTGATGATCTTGTTATCACTAAAAATCTTGACAAGTTCAATCTTCGAGAACTCAGAGTGGCAGCCATTCAGAGAACGCACCAATCAAAACATTCCGGGTATAAACATCGTGTGACGTCACTGGATAAGCTGGCGCCAGGATATATACGTTCAACGATGAACGCCACAGCAGACTGAAACACACGGTAACGTTCGTGATGCTTTATATACTGTATATCCATTCACGGCTTCCGGGAGGACACACGAGCGTGCGTGACAGGAAATTTTGTGGCGCTCTGAAGCATTGGAAATTGTTGTTAAATATTGATTACGCAGAGTAATAGAAGTAAGTGTGAAATTATGTGTTCATGTTTATCTTTATACAACTATATTTATATTGTGATTTGTATTTATATTAATATTACAAATCTTGATTATTTAATGGATGACCTAAAATATATAGACACGTCTATGTAGAGATAATTTTTACAGGTAGAGACACAGGACAGTAAATCTGTGTCTCGGGCTACTACATAATGTATACTGCAATAACACATGGTTCACTGAATACCATTTTACCAAAAATAGAAACATTCGATATTAAACATTGATTAAAATGTGGCAATGATGTGGGGCAATACAGCAATAGCAGAAAAATAGTGGTAGCGGACAGGACAATTTGTGAGCATATGGGTTTCTGTGCACTCACTCTGAGCTCACTCCTACTGCTGGTGGGGCCGTGATTATTAAATAATTCAAAGTAATTATCTGCACGTGAGGTTATGAAATACTGTAGTCTCTCTCTCTCTCTCTCTCTCTCATTCTTTTGTCTCTGTATACCTGTACTGTCTGAGTAAATGCTGCTCAGGTGAACTTATTACAACTTTATTGAGAAAATCTGTAAATCTATCTATCTATCTATCTATCTATCTATCTACAGTATTTATCTACAGTTTTTTATTTATCTACGTGTCTATCTATCTATCTATCTATCTATCTATCTATCTATCTATCTACCTACCTTTGTAACGTGCTGGGCGGGCGTGCAGGTGCAGGCGTGTCATTCAGCCAAACAGCTATTAATTCACCACACAACCTCTTCCTCCTCCTCCTCCTCTTTCTCTTCTCCCCCTCGTCATATTCATCCTTAAATCAGTCTCGTTTTATTTCTCGACTCATCCTCCAGGCATCCTTCTCTTGTACTTGTCATCCTTCCTTCCCCTACACTTAACTCATCCTCAGATGATCCTCCGAGCACCATGACCCTCCCTCCATCCTTATTCTCCCTCACAGGTCAACACTCACGACCATAATGAGGATAATTATGAAGCCACTAATTATTTTTTTTATTATTTACACATTATTTGTTCTGTTTACATGATATTGTTCTGTTTACATAATTTGATTCTGTTGATTACATAGGTAGAGTTAAACGCGTTATCTCAGGTGTGCGGAGTACTTTTGTGGACCCGGAAACCACTGAATTCTTATCGCTATGTTGTTGTTTTCAGGTATAGTTAGATTAGTAGAGTTTCTGTCACCAAGGTCATTAAAATAGACATATTGATGCGCAATGGCAATAAAAACAGGTCATTAATAGCTCCAGGTAATTATGAATTCTACCACAAGCACTGTCTGGGTGTAGTCTCTAGCCAATGAAAAACCCCGAATATGAGACTTTTTTTTTCATTGGTTCTATTCTCAAATAATGATAAATAAAAGCACTATTCTTTTGATCTCACAGTCACTCACAAAAGTCCTGTCTCCTCTCCTCCTGAACCACGAACCCCGAGATTCAAACATGTGAATCCGAAGCATTTATAGATAGAATAATGTATTAGTGTCTACTGCTTCGGGTTCACGAGTCTGAATCTTGGGGTTCGTGAAGCAGTGGGAGAGGCGACAGGACTTTTGTGGGTGTACTTTCAAGTCATGTACTGGACAGGTCAAATGCTTATCACAATGCCCTAACACAAGTTTAAATGCCCCTGAATGTGTTTGTAAGAGTAATTATTGTGATGCCAAGAGGTCATATTTGTATCCCAGAGAAGGTCATTCAGTCAGCTGGGGAATGAGGTCAGTTATAGGTCAGCAAGATGTCAGTGAGGTAGGTTGTCACTTTCTCAGGCAATGATTTAATTCCAGCGTTTCTCAGTTTAAGCCATTATGGCCTAAACAGGATGTAAAACTGCTGAAATGGTGATGAAATACAATTGTCATTCACCAAGAACGTGAGAGTCATGTGTGTATGTATGTGTGAGTTTGTGTGTGTGTGTGTGTGTGTGTGTGTGTGTGTGAGTGTGTATGTCTGTGTGTGTGTGTGTGTGTGTGTGTGTGTGTAATAATAATAAATAATAATAATAATAATAATTAACGGTTTATTGAAAAAGTTCTGCAGCCCGAGGGCTGAAAATATACATTGGACATAAATGACTTATTACATACATTGGTGGTTTAACAAAAGCCTTCATTAGAGATGGGTAAAGGAACATACAGTGAACATTCAGATTAATGTAGGTGTTGAACAGCAAACATGTAGTGTAGTAACTCCCTCACAGATGGTGTTAGGAGGGACCTCACGTGGTGTAGTAATTCCCTCACAGATGGTGTTATGAGGGACCACGTGGTATAGTAATTACCTCACAGATGGTGTTATGAGGGGCCTCACGTGTAGTAATTCCCTCACAGATGGTGTTATGAGGGGCCTCACATTCCCTCACAGATGGTGTTATGAGGGGCTCACGAACGTGGTGTAATAATTCCCTCACAGATGGTGTTCGCTGGTGGCCCCAGTTGTCCATTCGTACATCCTCACGTAGTGGATTAAGTAACTCCCTCACAGATGGTGTTATGAGGGGCATCACGTGGTGTAGTAATTCCCTCACAGATGGTGTTATGAGGGACTTGACGTGGTGTAATAATTCCCTCACAGATGGTGTTATATGAGTGAGGTGTGGCCCCAGGCCTTCCTATCGTAGACGGATTAACACATCGCTGGTTGTTGTTGGGTCTCACGGGCCGTTATCACTGGGTACCTGGGACCTCACTGTGTGAAGATTAACTTGGGTACGACTGTTACGTTTGAGTTGCTCTCACTGACTTAAGCACTGTTCACCAATGTCCACCTCTGTTTAACATTGGTTCCATTCCTTTCCTAAATGAAATTGTAACTTCTGGCGAGAACTTGTTGATATTCCGGTGGGGAGGAGGGTTCAGGGGAGGGAGTTGGTATGGGCCAACATAACAGTTGACCTGGCTGCTCCGAGAGGAGCGCCAGGTACGTCTTGACCCTTCGGTGGTGTGTGTGTGTGTGTGTGTGTGTGTGTGTCATAGATTGGGTCAGATAGCCACAATGTAGGCCTGTAGATCAGCTCCTACACCATGGTTGGAGATCAACAGAATGAGTGAAATAGTTGTCATGATTAGTCAACCAGTCAGGTGTGATATTCATAGAGCTAGAAGACGCAGCTGAAAATAGGATTTGATTAGTGTGACTGAAATCTCTCGGAGGAAAACAGGAACAGTATTCAGATCTATGTTACGTGTGAGTACCAATCTCTCTCTCTCTCTCTCTCTCTCTCTCTCTCTCTCTCTCTCTCTCTCTCTCTCTCTCTCTCTCTCTCTCTCCCCTGCATCGGTTAGTTACATATTAATGAACTAAAAACTGGACACCCAACCTCTAATCTAAGACTGACCGCATAATGGCCTTAATGTAACATCACGATTATAGAGCACACTTTCACATCCAACACCTCTTTCGTTTGTACTGGCATTCTTTCTGACGCTGGACAAGAGTAACACTACTGTTTTTTATCGCTGCATCCTGTACCTACGCTCAGTTATCGCCAGCACGGACGAAAAAATACAATAATTACTTTGTGTTGTTTTTGCGTTTTCTGTTGGATATAGTATTTTGAAGGCCAGACTGTGTGATATATCTTGTGTTGTTGCCGGCTCCAATACGAACGTGACTTCCATCCGGCCTCTCAACCTACAAGAGATAGCATAACCGTCAATATCATCCGTCCTTCCCATCTTTAATAATAATCTGTATTAATGTAACTCCCAGCAGGCTCCTATCCCCACCTCCAAGCCGGCTGGGAGTACCATAGTCACAGCCACTAACCTGAAACTGAGAAGTAAGCATACCAAACTCAACTCAGTATGGTTCCTCAAATACATGTTTACGTGTGGTTGTCATTACTATCAGGTGTGTTAATAAACGGTGTAATACAGGTGTAGGTGTACAAACAAAAGGCTATTCTTATTTTGTTTAGGTTTTGTTTATGTTTTTCTCGCTTTTATTTATTATTTTACCACTTATCAGTCTACTTATCACTCGGGGTTGTGTTAGTTTTACTTTTCATTCTTGTCATTCATGCGTATATACCATCTTATTAAACATATTATTAGTGTTGTCATAATTACTGTTATTATGGTATACTAATTATAACTCAGCGTAAAATAATTCCTTATTCACTAAATCCACCTCTCATTATTTCTTACTTATGCTGGCTTGTCTCTACGTTCATCTACGTCGAGTTTCTCTTCTCTCTCTCTCTCTCTCTCTCTCTCTCTCTCTCTCTCTCTCTCTCTCTCTCTCTCTCTCTCTCTCTCTCCCCGAATACCACCATCATTATCTTATCTTTCTCTCCTTCATGTAAACAACCGTAGAAACTGTACTTATATATCTTATTTCTTCTTTTCTTTTATCATTTGACGACTCGAACAGGTGGGGGGGAGGGAGAGTTCCGGCTTAGTGAGATAGATGTGAAGAAACCATTTTATCTCTCAAAACGAGGCAATAAGGGATTGTTCAGAATGGCAGGGATTATACCTTCCTCTTTCCTATTACTTTCGTCAGATTCATTGTTTGTCCAAATATCTGTCTGTCTGTTTGTCTGTCTGTCTGTCTGTCTGTCTGCCTGTCTGAATATCTGTCTGTCTGTCTGTCTGTCAGTTATCACCTCAGGAGCTGATTTATGGGATATTCTCACAGCTGGATCTGGTTTATACTAGATAGCTGTGTGTCGGAGAATTCAGGTCAAATTTTGTGTAAAGGTTAAGAGTCATCGGGAGAGGTCAAAGAAGACTTGTTTATTGATGGTTGAGCTTTATTATTATTATTATATTACCTGATTCCTCTCTCTCTCTCTCTCTCTCTCTCTCTCTCTCTCTCTCTCTCTCTC